ATGCCATGGGAGCAGGATGACAACCCCAACAGACCTACCTGTGCCGCTCCCCGTCCCCCCGAGCACCCACTTCGCCAAGTCAGGACAGGTCGTGGGTGATGGGTGTCCCTCCACGGGCGTCAGGCTGAGCCAGTCATCGGTGGCAGTGGCAAGGCCACACTGGCGAGTGGCCTCACGGTGCTGCCCGGGTTGCCAACCGGACTCGCCGTCCGCTGGCTCCCACCCCGCTTTTATGGCCACGGAGTCTCCTCCTGCGGCGGGGCCCGGCTGTGCGCGGCGGCAGAGCCAATCGGGGCGAGGGAAGCTGTGAATAATCAGCCCCGCAGCATCCCCGCCACCTCCCGAGCTCCCTCGCCCGCACCGCCGAGGCCTCCCCGCAGCCGCCCGGCCGCCCCTGGGGCCGGGGTGCACGTCCCACCGCGGCGGCTGCATCACTCGGGGACCTCCGTCGGGGCCAGCCTTTGGTCCTCGGGGCCGAAACGCGTGCCCCGAACAAGGGAGGCGGCTGGGGACCGGGATGGGGTCCATCGTCTCCCACAGCTGTGTGCCAGAGGAGTTTGGCTGCTGGGGGTATGAATCCCCTTGACCACCAAATTCAAATCCTGCCCAAGAAGGATGAGGGAGTGAAGCCCTGACCTCCTCCTACCCCACTCCTCAGGCTGGGAAGAGGCACTGTTCCGTGGAGATGCCAGGGAGAGGAGTGAACCCATTCAAAGCTGCTGGAAAGGGAGAGAGGGTCTTCACGCCCTGGGAAAGGCTGGATGCCCCCAACCCACCCAGCCTGGCTGCCGTTGGGTGAAAAAACCCTCACATGGAAACCTCCCACCTCTACAAAATCAAGGCTCAGACCCCACTGAGCTTCCCCCCAAGTCCACATCCCCCACACCCCTCCTCGTGGGAGCAAATCCAGAGATGAGCTGAAGGGGCAGGGGGAGCTGTGTGGGGCAACAGAGACACCCCACTTTCCCTGCTCAGCCCTGATTCCTGTTCTCTCACATTTCCAAGTCTGATTTGGTGGTGAGGGAGGGCAGCACTGGGCAATGACAGGCACACCCCGAGCCCGTGCACCACCATCCCACTGCACCGTGTCACAACAGAGGTGTGGGATGGGGGTCCATGGCACAGACTCTGTGAGGCCAGGCCAGCCTGCCCCGGCTCCACAGCCCGGTGGGCACAGACACATCCCCTGTGCCGCCGGCAGCGCAGCCCATCCTCTTGCCTTGAAGATGGAGCTATTTTTATCGGAGCTCAAGAGGGATGTTTCCCAGCAACCTGCCGTTCTCCCAGCTCGAACACCAGCTGCTGGACCTGGTGCCCCCTGCTCAGCTCTCCCAGCACTGGTGAGGGACATGGAGGCAATTGGCACAGCCAGGACCCAGCAGCCACAGCAGCCTGGGCACGTGGTCCTCCATCCCCTAGGCTGGTGGTCACCTCCACTGGCACCCATGTTTGCTCCCCAAAAGCAGATGGGACTCCACAGCTTTTGTTTGGAGGTGAATTTTAACTCATCCGGGCTGGGGCTGTGCCTGCACAGAGGGACCAAGGGAGCAGTGCATGGGGTGGGGGGCAAGGGCAGAGCATCCTGCATCCCCTCCAGGCCCAATGGAGGAACCCACCCCGGGTGCTACAGTGAGGGGGAATGGAGCTAAGGCCCCATGGAGCACACAAGCAGAGAGCAGCCACAGCCCTCCCTCACTGTGTTGGGTTGTGCTGGTCTGTGCAGGCACAGAATAAAGCTGAGAACAAAACACAGCTGCAAACCACCACTGACACCTTGGGTGAGGGGCTGTGGGCAGCCCCCTGGCAGTTTAATCCTTGCTGCTGGGGACTGGCTGTCCTGCAGGCACTGCAAATGTGGTGCAGAGGACCATTTCTGCACCAAATCCATTATTTATATATATATATATATATATGTATGCACCCAGCAGCCTGGGGTGCAACCACCTCCCCGTGCAGGGTAGTTGCACCGGAGGGAGTTGTGTTCCTAGGGATGGAGCAAACCCCATGGACACAGAGGGAAAAGTCGTTTGGAATAAGGTTCCTTCTCTTTGCTCCAGGTGGGAAGTCGAGTTACTCCTGTCCCCAGAGCAAAGTGTCACAGGTGTGCTGAGCTGGGTGAGAGGGTCCAGGCAGGCGTGGGGGGTGACAGGGTCCCCCAGGAGAGAAGCTGGGATCCAGCCCACCCACCAGCAACTCTAATTGATATTCATCTGTCTCTTCCTAATGGGAAAGTGTCTCTGAGTCACACTGACATTTCCCTGGGACAATGGTAATTAAGCACCTGGGTAAGAGGAATGTGCGGTAATAGAAAAGTTAACTTTTCTTAACTACATGAGTGAAAGGCGGGTTCGGCGAGGAGGGGGCCCAGCGTGCCAGGCACTCGCGGAAGAAGGTGGGAGTTAAATGGCAGCTCACGTCACACGGCGCTGCCACTTTGCCGCTGCGCCCCCAGTATCCCCCCGGGGACCCTGCCCCGAACCAGGCAGGGCGCTCGACCCCCCATCCCGGGATGGGGTAAATTGTCCCTGCAGGTTGGGACAAGCTCTGCCGTCCGCCGGGGCTGTCCCCGAGCAGCGGGATCGTGACCCAGCGCTGCCGGCGGGACTGGCAGTGGATCCTCCAGCACGGTCAGCTTTATCCCATTCAGCGGGGCAGGGCTTTTCCAGAAACTCCTAAAACATTCACACTCCTGCCTGGCCCTGCAGGAGATGCATTTTGAGGAACACTGGGAGAAATGCGGGATGAGCTTCTGCTCTAAACCTCCCGCGGGAGCTGCACCATCTCCCACCGCCCGTGACAGCGCCGGAGCGAACCCCCGGCGACTGCACCGGCAAAGAGGGCACCGGAGCAGGGAGCGGGCACACGGTGACCTCCCTGCGTGGGCAGGAGGCACAAGGGCCACTCGACGGCGGTGCGAGAAGCGGCGCCCACGCGAACGCGGCGAGTCACGGCGCTGACGAGCGGCACCGGGGACGCGGCGCCCGCAGGCCCCCCCCCCCCCCCCGGGGAGGTGAAGTGGCTCCATTTAAAAGCAAATTGAGGTCAAACCACTCGCAGGAGCTGCAGCCGCCGTGTCACCGCGGGGCAGCCCCGCGCTGGAGCCACCGGTGGCTCCAGGGGTCGCCGTCCCCTCCCCGCGGGGACCGGCGTGACGCAACCCGGAGCTGCCGGGGCTGCGTGATGGCAGCGGCACATGGCTCAGCAGCGAGGCGAGAAATCAGGGACTTTCGAGAGCTCCTCCGTGAACAGGCTCTGCAGACGATCTCCTTGACCGGTGCCAACGGCACCGCGCGAGGGGCAGGAAAACGCGGCTGGAAAAGTACCTGTTACGCGGTTTCGTCGCCATTCTCCCCCCTCCCGTGTCCCCCCCCCCGAAATCCACGGAGAGCGGGACGGCGGCGTGGAAAGCCTCGATCCCAGGAGGCTGCCAGCCCCCAGCACCGCCAGAACCAGGATGAGACCCCAGTTGTGAAGAGCAGTTTGGGGGCGGTGCGTGGGACCGGGACCCCCGCGTGGCCACGCGGCCATCCCACACTCCCTGCTCGCGGGAGAAATGCGGCCCCGCGGGGAGCCAGGACCCAATCCTGGGGAAAACGGCCATCCCGGGGGGACACACTGCAGCCCCGGCGTGGGGCAGTCGCCGCGTCCCGCTCTCGGCGATGGATGCACGTCCCACACACGGACACCCGGTGGGTGCCGCGCCGCCCCACGCCAGCCTGGGCTGCCCCAAAAAATCCCGGTCCCGGCCCGCAGGGCAGCAGGGCGATGCCTCCTGTGATCGTGGCTACTTTCCGGGGAACTTCCAGCTGAAATCTCCCGGTGACCGCCGGGAGAGGGGTCGGACCGTCACCGGCGGGGCCCCCAAATACTGCCGGGGCTGTGAAAACGCCCCCGGCGTGCCGAGCATCCAACACCGCACGGCCACCGCTGGCGCAGAGGATTCACCCGGTCCCGGGGATTCACCGGGTGCCGGAGCATCACCCCCTCTCCGGGGAATCACCTCCTTGACAGCATCACCCTCTCCCCGGGGCATCACCCCCGGGTGTATCGCCCCGCTCCCCGGTGTACCGAGCACCCAGCACCGCACGGCTACTGCCGGCACGGCGTCTCCCGGGGATTCACGGGTTCCCGGGACACCGGCGCCTCCCAAGGCGCCACTCGCCGGGCGGCATCACACCCGACCGTCCCCGGTGCACCAGATCCCTTCCACCGCACGGCCACCGCCGGTGCACGGGGCCCCTCCCGGGACATCGCCCGACCCGGGGCGGTGGGAGGGGGCGGGTGGGGGCGGGTCACCCCCCGCCGTTACATAAGGGGTTACGTCAGGGCGCGCGGCCCCGCTCTTATCCCGCCGCCGCCGCCGCCCCGCCCCGCCCGTTCACACGACGCCGCGCAGCGCCCGGCCCGGAACCCCCCGCCGCCGCCGCGCCCCAGGTGAGCCCCGCGGGGCAGTCCCGAGCTCCCGCCGCGCCCGGAGGGGCGGGGGGGCCGGGCGGGGGGACCCGGGGCGGCCCCCATGACCGGCCTGTTTACACCGGCGCGGCGCGTACCACCGCGGCGCGGCAGCGGGGGGGGCCGGCCGCCGCGCTGAGCCACCTCCCCCCGCCCGCCGAGTCGCGCTGGCGGCGCCGCGCCCCGGCGGCCGCGCGCGGGGCCGCAAAGCCGGACGCCCCGCTCCGAGACCCGGGGCGGCGGCGGCGAGGAGAGGCCGACCCCCAGGGCGGCGGCGGGTGCCGCCGCCGCCACCCCCCGGCGCGGCGGTGGTTCGGCCCGCGCGGCCGCGATTGGCCGGGCGCTTAAAGGGGCCGGCAGCGCGCGCTTTTCCGCCCCGCGGCGCGGCCGCGGCCCCGGCGCGTGCCCCCGCGCGTGCCCCCTCGCCCGCGCGGCGCTGCCCGACACGCGGGGCGGGCGGGGGGGGGGACATGGACGGCGGCCGCCGCGGGACACAAAGGGCGGCGGCGGCGGCGGGGAGGCGGCGGCGGGCGTTGCGGCGCGGGGCCATGGCGGCGGCCGCGGTGGGGCCGGGCATCGGCGGCGGCGCCGGCGGCCCGCGGTACAGCCTGCTGGCCGAGATCGGCCGCGGCGCCTACGGCGTGGTGTACGAGGCGGTGTCGGGCCGCAGCGGAGCGCGGCTGGCGGTGAAGCGGATCCGCTGCGACGCCCCCGAGAACGTGGAGCTGGCGCTGGCCGAGTTCTGGGCCCTAACGAGCCTCCGGCGGCAGCACCCGAACGTGGTGCGGTTCGAGGAGTGCGTGCTGCAGCGGCACGGCCTGGGGCAGCGCATGAGCCACGGCAACAAGCGCAGCCAGCTCTACCTGCGCCTCGTCGAGACCTCCCTCAAAGGTACCGACCCCCCTCCTGGGGCACCCCCGGGGCTGCTTCCGCGCCCAGGGCCTCCGGGGCCCCTGTCCCTGGCACCTGTGTCACCCCCCCCCTTTCTCTGAGTACCTGCATTTGCACCCTCCCTGCTACCCTCAGTGCCCCCCCCCCCCAGGTCCTCCTGCCCACCCCCCTCTCACCCCACCCCCAGGTTTTATCCCCCTTGGGATACACCATGCAGGACACCCTGGTGTTTTCCCCCTTCCCATAGGACACCCTTCTCCAACACCCCCCACCTCAGGCACTGCTGCTGCCCTCCCTTGCTCCCCATCACCCCCTTGCTCAAATCCTTCCATGGCAGTGCCTGCTCTCAGGAGCACCCAGAGCTCCCCCCAGCTCTCATAATACCCCTCCCTCCACTTTAACTCACTGTTTTTCGAGCATAACCACCCCTGGGCTCCCCCCACTGTGCCCTTGGGCACCCCATCAGCCCTGCAAGCCCTGGGGTTCCCTCTGGGGTACCTGCTCCAGGCTTGCTCCCTGCTGTTCCCATCACCCACCTCCATCCTGTCCCTGCAGGCTCCCCTACAGGGTCTCTCTGCTGCCCCTCTTTGGTGCCACCCACCCTGAGCACACCTGGAGGATCCCTGTTCTGGGCCCTGTCCCCCCATGCCCTGCCCTTAGGTTCTGCCTGTGTATCCTCTCTACCCTTTCCTGTGTGCTGCTCCCAGTGACACCCTTCACTAAGCCCACACCCATGTCTTGCAGCCCCATGCAAGGGGGGGTCCTGCAGCACCCCAGCCCCATCCCCTTCTTCTGAGGAACCCTGTTGCCACCTCCAGGCTCAGACCCAGCCCTGGGGGACATCCCTGTGTGGTGACCCCAGCCTTTCCCTGCACTCTGTGCCAGCACTGACCTTGTCCTCCTCCCTTGCACCCCAAATCCTGGGGTTCCCTCTGCTACCACAGCCCACACACATCCCTTGGAGACCTTCACAGCCTCTGCCCCAGTCACACCAAGGGGACATCTCCCCATCTCTGCCTGATGTCCCATCTCTGAGCACCCCAAGGCTGCAGCCTGTTAGGGTGCCCTGCCTGCTCCCTTGAACTCTCGTGGCTTTGGGACTGTCCCCATTTTCCCCCAGTGCCGGCTCTGTGGGAACAGCCCAGGAGAAGCATCAATGCCTGTAGCCCGGGCTGACACCCCCATTTTCCCCTGGGGTCCCTCAGCAGCATCACGGGGCTGTCAGGGGTCACCTTCTCCTGTCACAGCCGATGGCTGTGATGGTGACATCTCCAAAATGCTCCCTCCCTCTGCTCTCTTGGCTGCTTGTCAGACGCAGCTTTGCCAACGTGCTGTGAAGATGTGGAAAAATACTGGAGCCCTTGATGCCCCCTGGGCCCCCAAGCCTGCTCTGGGCAGAGCCAGCTCACCCCAATCCCTCTGCCCCAAATTTGTGTGCCAGGGCTCCTGTCTGCTTCTCAGGGGCTCAGTCTCTCAGTGCCCCCAGCTGAGCCCCCGGCATCGGCAGCCCCCAAACCCTGTGCCAGGCACAGAGTTCATGTGAGGCTGCTGAGACCCATCCTCTGAGCAAACCTGTGGCTCTGACTGCCCCTGCCTTCCCTGTCCCCTCTGTATCCCTGGGGGGGACATGTCCAGACCTGCCTTGCTCTCCCCATGCAGCCCAGCTCCTGTCTCCCTTCACACAGCCACCCAAGGGAGGCTCCCCGGGAAGGGCAGTGTCCGAATTCCTGTGCAGCCTGGACTCAGGGCTCCCTGGGAAAGGAGCCAACTCTTCCCTTCGGGTGTGTGTCCAGCTGTAGCAGGTCAAGCTCTTTCTGGCAGGTACAGGGGTGGGTTCCCACACCCCCTCTGTCATGTTGCACACCCCAAGGAGAGGTAGCTTGGCTTGGGGAAAACTCTTGGGCAGCTGTAGGTGCCTCATCTCCAGGTGGGGAGGGAGCCCCATAGATGCCCCCATCTCTAGGTGGGGATTGAGCTCCCTGAACTCCCAGGGAGGGCTTTGCCTGCCCCAGTCCTGCTGCAGCCCCGAGCTGAACAGGAGCAGTTTGACTCCCCAAACCAGAGCACATTCCCCCCTCCATCTGCCCTCCTCCTGCCTGCCCTGGGGGCTGCGCTGTGCCGGGGCTGCGCTGTGCCGGGGCAGCCTGTGCTTGCTGCCTTCCCGAACCTTGGGTCCAGATAGATGTGGATAAATATTTCCAAAGCAAAAGCCAGAGCTGGAGGAGCCCCCCCAGGTCTCCTGCTCCCGTTCCCCGTGCGCAGCAGTGCCGGGGCTGCCGCGGTGGCCGTGGAGCTGTGCTGCCGTGCCATTCTGCACGACCGCAGCTGGGCTATTTACGGGCCAGCGCAGATGCTGTGCCAACGTGCTGGGGCTCAGGGCACGTTGAGGATTAATCCAAGACCTTCTGAATTGGGAGCACAACTGTCGGGACACCCGGGCAATGTTGGGTCTCAGCTACAGCATGAGAACCTGAACCTTTATCGTTTTAACGAGATGCGGAATAATTAAATTTAAGGGCAGGGTATAAAAAGGAGGCTGAAAGCCCAGCGCTGAGCTGGAGGAGAGGCACAGACCAGTGCAATGTGCTCAGAGCCCTGATACAGGAGCACCTCCAGGGCACCATGTGCCCCTCTTGCTCCTAACCTATAGCAGTGACAGAGCTCCCTTAAGTGAACAGGTATAAGGTGTTGCTTCCCAGCGTGTCACCTGTGGGGCCACCAACTTGCCACCAGCACTCAGCCTCACTTGTGGGCTGCCCTGGCATCACCCATGTGTGTTGCCATCATTCCAAGCACCCAGCTCGGTGCCGCCAGCTCCCATCTCTCTGGCACAGCCTCTTTGCACAGAGGGAGTCAGAGGTTACACGTGGTAGTAGGCGCTGTGGTGCTGCTTCTGCTCTCCCTAGATTTTTGTTTTCCCTCTGAAGCCAAGCAAGTTAGCATGCTGCTAATGAGCTCCCAGGATAGGTGGGGGGGGCTGCTGGAAGGATGGAGGATGAGTGTGTGCCATCCTGGGCTTGGGCTGGGAGCTGGTTTGGTGATGGAGAACAGGTCTGGCCTGTCATCAGCTCTTGGCTGCTTGGCTTCAGCTTGCTAACATCTCATCTTTAGGAAGCAGCTTGCCAGCTCTTTATGTTTAAAGCTGTTTGTTTTGAAGGCAGGAAGATGATTTAACAACTAAAACACTTTTAGATTATAGAAAGAAAATGAGGAAATATTACTTTTGGCTTAAGCCTCTCCTAGCAGCGCTCCACCCAAACTGAAGTGCCTGGTGCTTGCAGTTACTGGTGGGTCGCCGTCCTCCCCACGCTTGCTGAGGTTCAGGGGGCAAGTTTTAAATCAGAGCCTTCGTTATGCTAAAAACAAACCTTGGCCTGTCAGAGGCAACAGGTCCTGGCTGCTGCTGAGCCAGTGTTTGAGCCACGTCCTGTGGGAAGGGGCTGTCGGCAGAAGTGTGTGGATGCTCCCACCTGGTTGTGTGTGAGGGGAGTGAGGCTCTGCTGTGCTCCCCGTCATGGCTTGATTCCCAGCAGAGAAGAGCCAGACCCTCCTGCTCCCCAGGTTGGGGCTGTATGGATGCAGAGGGGAGCAGGAAAGCCAAACCCTGTGTCCTGCTGTGATGTCACTGGATTTAGCAAAGTGTGGTGGTGGCAGCGGTGTGAGCTGGGGCTGTCCTGGCTGTGCCAAGGGCTCTGCTCCCAGGACAAGCAGCCTCTGCTGCAGTTTCCATGCTGTCATGCCAAAGGGTGGCTCACACCAGAGAAGCTGCTTTTCCTAGTCAGCATTTTGGTCTCCAGAGCCAAGCCTGTCCTGTGCTGCTCCCACTTGGCCCTTGGACTTGCAAGCTGATCCCTCCTCCAGCCAAATGAGACCCCCAAAGTGCACCCAGTGCCTTGAGTATCTCCAGCCTGTTCTTCCATTCCCTAGATTTAACCTTCAGACCTAATCTCAGCAGAAGATTGCTGAGGGCAGAGAGGTGCAGCCAAATCCTTGTGTTGTGCAGCTTTCCATTTCCATAGCAGTAGCCATGGATACAGACTGTTTGTGCAAATAACTGATATTCCCACCCACACCGATCACTGACCAGTGCAGCCCAGAGCTGGGTGTCCCTGGTAGTCCTTGGCTTTACCTGCTGCTGGAAGTTTTTAGCTTTCCCAGATGCTCTCTAGGGCTTTGCTCAAACAAAACTCAACTTTGTCAAATGGGTGGAGTTACTTAACTGCTTTCAAAACACTGGAGTTTGGCTGTGGGATTTGTTAACAGTGGCAGAGGTGAGTGGTGTCCTCCAGCTTCTCCCTTATGGTGCTTGAGGGTAAAAAAAGCTGGTTTCTAGAGTAAAATGATGCTCTGGTGGTGTGTGCAGGCTCTGCCTGTCACCTGGGTACTCTATGGAAGAGACCTGAGGTCTGGCAGTGAGGTTTGCATCTTGGCACCAGCTAGTAGGGCGAGGTCTGCCAGTGCTCCCTGGGGCACCCTGGCATCCCCAGGGAGCACCAGTGGTAGACCTGACCCCATTAGCTGATATGATTCTGCTGTGTTTTCTACTCATCTAATTTATGTGCAGAAGAGTCCTTTCCTTGGCAGGAGGTTTATGGAGTAAAACCTAGATTTAACCAATCGACCCTGAGATGCTCTGAGTTTGAAGAGCTCACTTTGATGTCTGGTGAAGGGAGAAGCTGCTTGGGGTATAATATTGAGTAGTAGCAACAGTAACAGTCACCAGCGTGGCTGAGATTACACTCAGCAGGCATGGTTTGCTGCTTGGACCTCCAGTTTCATCTCGTTAAAGAGTTGTTGGCACTTAATGAAAGCTGGATGAAGTGGCAGAGCTCCCCCAGCACAAATGCAGCTAAACACACAAATTTGGCCTGGGAACACCCCGTGGGCTGCAGGGCTTGGACACTGGTGTGACCACTCTTAGTGAGGTTGCACTGGCTCAGTTCAGGGCTGTCGGTTACTCCTCACGTGCAGTTCCAGTAAATTGTGCAGAGTGAGCCAGCCTTTGCCTCCTGCAGCAGAGCTCAGGTGGGAGAGGAGGTGTTCACATAGAACTGACTTTTTTTCCTCCTGTAGACTTGCTGCTAATTGTGCCTTTAGCCTCTGTCCCTTGGCTGTCAGCCTGGGGAGAATGGCCTGATGGTGGGACTGGAGCAGAGGTGTTCTCAGTGCCACTCGCTGTGCTTTGCTGGGAAGAGGTCCCTTGAGCTGGCTCCCAGGCAGTGGCTTGGATAAATGGGATGCTGGTGCGTGGTGCTCAATGGGATCCCAAAGCACTTGAAGCCACAGCAGTGCCACTGATAGTGCCCTGCAGTGTGACAGGTCCCGGTCACGTTCCTGTATCCACATAAACCAGACCCATGCCTTATCCGCCCTGGGTTAGGATAGACTTTGTAATGTGCCTGAAAAACCCACTCTCTTATCCCTCTTGGTTAGGTGAGAGGATCCTGGGCTATGCAGAGGAGCCTTGCTACCTGTGGTTCGTCATGGAGTTCTGTGAAGGGGGAGACCTCAACCAGTACGTGCTCTCCCGAAGACCCGACCCGGCGACCAACAAGAGCTTCATGCTGCAGCTGACCAGCGCCATTGCCTTCCTGCACAAGAACCACATCGTCCACCGGGACCTGAAACCAGACAACATCCTGATCACAGAGAAGTCTGGCACCCCTGTGCTCAAGGTGGCCGACTTCGGGCTGAGCAAGGTCTGCGCTGGCCTGACTGCTCGGGGCAAGGAGGGTGGGCACGAGAACAAAAATGTGAATGTGAACAAGTACTGGCTGTCCTCGGCCTGTGGCTCTGATTTCTACATGGCGCCCGAGGTCTGGGAAGGACACTACACTGCCAAGGCTGACATCTTCGCCCTCGGCATCATCATCTGGGCCATGATTGAGAGGATCACTTTCATTGACGCCGAGACCAAGAAGGAGCTGCTGGGGACCTACATCAAGCAGGGGACTGAGATTGTGCCCGTTGGGGAAGCGCTGCTAGAAAACCCAAAGATGGAGCTGCACATCCCTCAGAAACGCAGGACTTCCATGTCTGAGGGGATCAAGCAGCTCTTGAAAGACATGTTGGCTGCTAACCCGCAGGATCGACCTGATGCCTTTGAGCTTGAAACCAGAATGGACCAGGTTACATGTGCTGCTTAAATTCAGGGCAGGGCACTGCTGTGCTTTGCAGCTGGGTAAGTGATTCACACTTTTTGTCTTAATCTGTCTGCTATACTGGCCCCATAGTGCACTTTGTAGTGACACAAAGGAGTCTTATGTTCCCAGAGCTATTTCTGTAGTGACTCATCAGAGCAGTGCTTCTGAGGTTGTTTTCACCTCTTCTACTGCAAAAATAGCAAAAATAAAGTAGAGGTGGGAAATAGAATTAGCAGCTGTATGTCCTGCCACTGCCCGAAGGCCCAGTGGAGTTGGAAAGGCTGGGCAGGAGTCCTGCTCTTCCCAGGTTCTTGCCAGTGTCTGAGACAGGATGGGGTGTGGCAGAGAGACCTGTGAGCACCTGGTATAATATATGGGGGCGTCTGTCTCCCCCAGGGGCAGGGAGGGAGCTGCCAGTTCTGCCTCTGCTATGTAGTGTAATTTCTGTGATCAGTGTTGGGAGCACCTCACTGTCTGGCACCATCTCCCTCCCCTGTGGGACTTGGACAGGGCACCTCGGGGCTCAGCTGGCTCTGTCAGCAGGCACCAAGTGGCACATCTGCCTCGGCACAAAGCTGTTTCCTTTCACCTACGAGGCACGTGGGTCTGTCTTGTGGCTCTGTTTCATTTCCCTGTTAAGGGTAGGACTTCCCTTTGGTGTGAACTGCAGTGGCCCAAACCCAGGAGATGCTTTGGCCTCCAGCATCTGTGTTCGTAGACCTGTGTCTGCTCAGGAAGGAAGCTTACAAAACAGCAGTGCTCAGACTGAGCTCTGCTCTGTTCAAGAGTCCCCTCCCTTCTCCCCCCAGCTAAATAGTCTCAAGCTCAGAGGTCCTGATCCTGAGACCTGGGTGGTCACACATGGTCTGGAAGGATCCCCAGGGACGGGGTAACTGGCCCTGTCATTAACCAGTGACACAGAAGGACTGGGAGGTGTTGCCTACATGGCAAAGCTGTCTGTAAACAGGAGCTGTTACTAGGGATTTTCCCAGCCAAGCATTTCAATGGAACTGAAGAATTACAGATTACCAGGGGTGAGGCTGATCTCTTCCTACCCTAGGTCCTTTCTCAGGCTCATGCAGAGCTGCCTGCCTGTCAGTGATCACAGGAGACCTCTGACAGCCTACCTGTTAGGTGCTGGCATTGCAGCCTGGCCCCCCAGCACCTACCTCACCCCAAAACCACACAGAGCCAGCTGGACTGGAGCAGACCATGGATACAAGAGGGCAAAGAGGGAGGAAATGGCTTCCCTGGCCAGCACTCACCAGCCCTCAGCTGATGGCTGTGTGCCTGACCTGCTCTGAGAGGGAGCCTCCAGCAACAGGTAGTGGGGAGGGTGGGGCTGTTTTAGCAGATTTTGTTAAAACCCCTCATTGCTGCCCACCTGAGTGTTCCTGAGCTTATGGAAAACAATGTGCTGCCTATCCCCCCCTCTATATGTGCCCAGGTACACTCTGTGTTGTATGTAGAAAAATAAGGATATGGAAATGGAAAGACCCATTGGGTGGGTCTCGTTCTGTCACTGTTGGTTTGTCCAAACTTGTGCACGGACCATCCCCTTTGCACCATCCCACAGCACAAAATATTTAACACCCTTGAGGTCTCAAGTGGAGGTAACTGATTCAAGCACTGCTGCCTGGGGCTTGATACTGGTCCCAGTGCAAGTGTGGGCTGGGGATTAGTGTGAGAGGAGTGAATCTGCGGAAATGTGAGCCCTTAAGAAGGGTGTGCTCCAGCCCCGGGGCAAGAGCAGACACCCCACCTTGTCCCCCGGGGCGAGGCATGGGGTCCAGTCCGGGGTGGGAGCAGCTCTACCGAGGGTCAGGCCGGGCTGTGCCATCTGGGCTTGCTCTGTGCTGACATGATGCTGCTGAGTTATGCAACCAGCCCCTGCCCTCCGGGGAAAATTCATCCTGCGCAGATCTGCGGAATAGTACATGAAGGGATAACAAACACCGAGGGGACAGTCCTACCCTGCGGCTGTTTGCTCAGTCCCAGCTGCCTCCTGCAACCACCCCCCCTCCATCCGTGAGGCTGCACCGATCTCTCCTCTCCGTGGTGACACAGCTGCAGCAGCCATGGATGCTCTTACATAACCCAGCCTGGCACACGGAGCGTGGTCGCTTGGCCCACATAGAGCCCAGCACCAACCATATGTTCCCTGCAAGCCCAGAGCGTTCCTCTGCCTCACTCGTGGGGCACCAGAGTATTTGGTGGGCTTTGCTATGGGGATTTTCTAATGCCTGGTGTAGTAGTGCATTCAAATCAGCCTTCCTCTGGCTGCTGTTAAATGCAAATCTTAAATTGGAAACCTGCTTGAGAAGCTTAAAATGGGATTTAGAGCAGGGCCTGAATTCTGCTCTCAGGTAATTTTAGTTGACCGAGAAACTCACGTAACCCCTTCCAACTTATTTGTGGCCACTGGCGTGTAGCTTGGTCATGCAGTGAGTTCTTCCCCAGGATAGTTCAGACCTGCTCAGCCTTGGTTCATGTCATAACCTGGAAAACTGTAACCCTCCCTGACCCAGGCAATCGGATTTTTGCTTATTCTTTGCTATGCCACTGACCTCTTCAGATTTCGCTTCGTGTCTCAGCAGCTTTGCCTTTAGTTCTGCCAGGGATGCTGCACACACCTGCCAGCTCCATGCTCCGCTGCTCTTCCAAAATGCAGATAGGAAATGTCAGTTCTCAGAGAGGAAAGTGTTTCTGGCTTGATTTCTGCTGGACGATGGGGGTGCTTGAGGTGGAGATGATTCCTTATCTCCTCGCCCTCCTCCCCAGCACTGCCGGTGGCCCTGGGGCAGTGCTTCCAGCAGAGGTGGGCAACATTTTCCTGGGGAAAACAAAGGTATTCTCTTTCTCATTTGAATACTGTGCTTCCCCACCTTGGGCAGAAGTTTATAAACAGCCTGAGATCTTCTGCAGAAGTTTATTTAAAGCCAAGTTTATCTACAGGTCTCTATAGTTGTTTCCAAAGCCTTTTGGGCAAAGAGGACAAAAGCCTTTCTGGTACAGTTAGGGAGTGGCTGGGTTGTGCTGGGTACCTGCTAATGTATCTCTTGATTGCTAGCCCAGCACTGACTGCTATGCTTTTAAGAAACTTTATAGTTTTGATTCACACAGGACATCAAACTGCAATGGTTGTGATCAGTGTAGAAGGCAGCTTGTTTTGGCAGATTGTATTCCATGATATTTTCACTGTGGATGAAACAGTTGGTCTGATGTTGGGGTGGATGCTCAAGATGAATGGGAGGAATCTCTGCAGGCTGCTGCAGCATCTTGGGGGCTGCTGTCAGCAGGAGGGTGTCTGACAGCTGAGGCCAGCCTGGTTCTCTCCAGCACTCCTCTGTCACTGGGTTTGATCATTCCAGTTTTGGCTGAAAGTAGCTGTTTGCATTTGCATTGTTCTGCTCTTTGCATTTCCAACGTGCACCGGGAGGTGATGCTGAACCAGCTCATCTGCTCACCCTGCATGACGGTGTCTGTCTGGCCAGAGCTCCCTGGTGCTGTGCCCACCCACTCCCAGCCCGCTGATAAACTGCTGCCCTGTGGAATTTCGGAGCTGGAGGACAGAGAGGTACTGGGGACACAGCAGCAGCTCTGATAGCTGTTGGTGATCAGGGGTGCTGCATCAAGTTACATCTTGTCTGTTAGTACCACTCAGCTCAAGTTTTACCCACTGGCCAGTCTAAGGACAGCAATTTCATTCCTGAAACAGTTGGTTTTGACTTTGGACTGTTTCCAACATGGTTTGTGGATCTTGGCAAGGACAAAAGCCATGGGACAATAGAAGCAAAGTCAGTTCCTCTTCTCGGCCATAGCAGCAGGTGCAGCATCACAAGGCCACCCCAAAGTTTGGTGATACTCTTCTTGGCAGTATTGATTCTATCTGGGGTGAAATGAAGCCCTGCAGGTGAATTGGATTGTGTCACCTGTGGCCAGATGTATTAGTGTTTGTGTTTGTTCACTGTCAGCCCTGCTTTGCCTTCTAGGGGAGACTGCTGCAGTTGGATTTAAGTTGCTCCCAAAGAATGCATCACAAATATAGGTACAGAGCGTGAGAAAGGGCTCAGGAGATAAATCAGACTCTCAGCCCCCTTCCCTGGTACTCTGTGTTCCCACACGGGGGCAGATATTGTGGTTAGCACGAGAAGGTGATGGGTTATCTCTCCCTCCCCTGCACTGTCCTCTCTGCCGTGCGGACCCCATTGCCAACTCCCCTCTCTGTGAGACCCACGCATTGGTGTCACCTTTGCATGCTGGGTGAGGACTCCATGGGCTGCTGGTTCATGTCCTGCTGATGCTGAATGAACATTCGAGCTGATTAAAACTATAAGTGGCATCAGAGGAGGGATTAAAAGCTCTTGAACAAGCTCCTGCAACAACGTGCGTCAGTGGGGTCTCAGAGCTGTGAGCTCAGGGCTACTCAAGCAAGAGCCCTCCCTGAAAATGCTCCTACTCCAGGGAAGCACAAACAGAAACAGTGCCCTACTTGCTAATGAAGCTGCATAACAGGAGAAATCTTCCAGAAAAATCCTTGTGTGTTTGCCCCTGACCTGATGTCTGGGTGCCTCTCGCCTCCTCAAACAGAAGAGGTTTTTTTCTGATGGCAGCCTGCAAAAGTGGCATCTCTTGGTTGACCTCTCCTGAAAAGGAGTGTGCCCATGACCCTGCCTTCTGCTCTGAGCAGCCTCTCCCTTTAGAAATGTGTTCCTCAGGCATGGATTTCTTTAATGAGATTTCCTAGGGCTAAGGGATTGGAGTAATTTGCTGGGCAGTGGCATTTTTTCTGCAGTAGGTCTCTCCTGCTGCTCTCTCAGTGTCTCTGCAGAGCCTGTGGTCCTATCCCTGGTGGGGGGGGACCTGCCCCTGATGAAGGGGGGAGCTAAATCCAGCCCCCAATTTTTTTCCATATAACTTGAGCTCGGAGGTCAAGTTTGAGGAAAAATTAAACTGATGTTAACTCCTGGAAAATTACCACCCCTGTGTAGCATGAGGGAGGGGTGACAAAGTGAGACTTTCATGGAACCACCACCACTGCTTCCCAGCACAACTGCTGCCCTTGGCTCTGCTGGTCCCTTCCTCTGAGTTTGGGGCATCCTGAAGGGTGTATTTCCAGTACAGAAGTGACATGTGCGTGTGTCCTGTTCCTTTGCTGGGTCCAGCTCTGCTGCTGTGTGGGATGTCTGCAGGCAGTTTTCTGGGTTGCAGACGAATTGGATGGAAAATGCTGGTGGCTTATGTGTGGAGTTGAGCACTTCAGCATCCCTAAGCGGAGAGGATGGGTGGGTGCAGTGCCAGGGCTGTGGATGAATGGGTACAGCACCCCAGCTTCTACAAGGACCATGGGGGATGCTGAGTGTCAGGGCTTTGGCCAGAACAGGGATTGGGGCAGCAAATACCTGCCTGCTCTTCCCTAAAATTCCTGGTGCTTAGCATCTTTGTGGGCTGAGCTGTGAACCCATCCTACTCTGCTTCCAGTTGTACCAACCTGGATTTTAGCCACCCCTTGCAGAGCCACTTGAGATGCCCAAGCTGCTGCTGACGCACCGGGCGAGCGGTGCAGGGCATCCCAGGATCACAGCTTGTTCCACCTTTCCTGGTGGAGCACAGGGAGCCAGCGCTCACGGATGCATTACGTGGATGCTCAAGGCCAGGCTCTGCCATGGTAACACTTGTCCTTGTTCCAGCAGGGCTGTTGCTGCAGGGAGCCCTGTGGGATGGGGCGACGCTCAGCCCCCAGTCAGCCCATCCCAGCTCAGCCCCTGTGCTGGGGCAGCTGGATGTGTGCTGACCTTGACAGTGTGCTCCATGCACTGCTGAGTCCCTCCGGGAAAGAACTGACTGTAAACTGAGCCCAGTTCCTATCTGGATCGATAGCAAAAGCACTGTGAGGTAGAGGGATGTGGCAGCACCCGTTTTGGACTAACTGGGGTCAGTGGGCAGGCAGTGGGAGTGGTGTCCTACACCCTTTCCATCCAGCAGTGACAATGAAGTTACAGTGTAGTAACTGGAACAAATCACTGACAAACCTGACCTGTCTTTCTCCTCTCTTGTTTTCTCTTACAGATTTATTTACCAGGGACCCATAATCTCCGTTATTTACATGCAACGAGGAAGTCAAAGATAAGGGAAGATGATAATAGAGAAGATCTCTGGCAATGTGAAATCTTTGGGTGTTACTTTATTGTGTCAGGAAGGGGTGTTGTGGGGGTGTGGGAGGGGGATGCAGGGGCCTGTGGAAGAGCACAAGCTGGCAGCTGTCACACTGATGAGACCTTTAAACAACATCCAGAGCGTGGAGCTGCCCTTGCCCAGCCCTCCCCACATCCCCTGTGCTGCCACTTGACTCTGTAGATGTTTCTAGAGATGTGGTTCCATAAGGAGGCGGCCTGGCACTGAGGTGTGCTGCCAGGCACCAGCTCTGAGTCCAGCTGGGCACAATTTTGGGTTGAAAGCTATTGATTTAGCCTAGGGAAAATGGAAGCAAAGTGATGGTGAGGTTTGCACTGGGAGTGCAGTGCTTTAGGAAAAAACAGTCTCTTGAATCACATGTTGCAAGCAGCTAAATAATAATAATTTCATAGCCAGGCAGCTCCTGAATAGGTGGGTGCTGCCCAGGCTGTGAGCAGTTGACATTAGGATAGAGTAGGATAAACAAGCTGGAAAGCCATTTGGCAAGGCATATCTGCTGCTGTGGTGGGCAGACCTCTGCTCTCCCTGAGCTGGATTTCACTATGATGTTTGGTACTCTCTGTACAGAGGTAACTGTGGAGCTGCTGAGTACATTTTCAGGTGGACATCACCTGCATACAAGAGAAACACAAAGCAGTCCATTGCTCTGATCCATTTAATGCTGAGCTCTAGTTTTTAGAAACAATGCTGGGGAGAGGAGGAGGTTTGGCCTGAGTGGCTCATGGGCTGGATTCTTGCCTCTCATGGGACACTTTTCCCTGCTAGCTAATGATCTCCAGGAAGCAAAAGGCAGTGCTGCTGTTTGGGGTGGGTTACAATACAGTACAGCTCAGGTAAGGAGGTTGGAACCTCAGGCTGAGCAGTTAATACTCGATTTCCTTGCCTGTAGTTAAACTCCTATTCTGGGGCTGCCCCCATGTTGATGATCTTTAGACTTTGCTCACTGTAAATGCAATGTAAAGCACCAACTCTTCTCCACCCTGCAGCTTCTGAACCACCTAAAATGTTTCTCACCAGGTTAAATCACCCAGCAGTGGTTTGGGGAGAGGGCTGGTCTGACCCAGCAATGCTCCCAAGCTGCTGGGGTGCTCAGCCTGGAGCTGGCCATGGCCATGGGCAGGAGGGGATCCCCTTGAGCCCCCTGGCTGTGGGAACTGCTCCTTGCCTGTGTGCAGGCTGCAGCTTTCCTGTGTCATCACTGGAAGGTTCCTAACTGGCAGCACCTCTGTGTATCTCCTCGGCGTACTTTGCTGACCTCATGGGAATGAATGGAAATGGAGGAAATTCAGGTGGGCTAAGGCAGAGCTAGAGCAGAGAAAGGAGGGAGGGGCTTCTTTCTTCTTTTACATCTATTCCAGGACACAAAGCTAAGGCTGTGGCTGCAGGAAGACCAAGTCCCTCTTAGAAGGACCTGGAGGCTCCAGACCATCTGTCTGTGACTTGTGAAGGTTCAGACAGCCCAGATTCAGCGCCAAGCCCTTGTTCTCACACTGCTTTTGTGTTTCTCCCTAGGGATGCTTCTGTAGGGTGCAGCCAGGTGAGACTCTCCTGCAGCTCTCTGTGTTGCATCCCTGAGGAGGGGGAGAGTGAACCCTGTAGCTCACAAGTGCAGTGTTAGTGCCCTGATTACTGGACCCATCCTTCCTCCACCTGGCAGAGCCTTTGCTCCTGACTGTTACAACTGTTCTAACCGAACCCTGGCCTGAACGGGTGCAGTAAGAGGGTTTTGTCCTCCCAGCCCTGCTCACAGGGCTTTCCCTGCTGGAATGGCACCTCAGCAGGTGTCTCATCGCCGTTGAAGGGAGCTTCCTAGCAGCAGGAATACCAAGCCTGAAAGGCGGGAGGTGAGGATGGAAGGCACTGAGTGGGGTTGCTCCCTGGGACCATTGCCTCCAGCCAGCTGCCAGCTTCCTGCTCCTCTCTGGGGACAGGAATGAGCCCGGCAGGCCCTGGGAGGGTCAGTCCTCTTGGTCCACTGCTGTTTCAGGCCATGTTCAAACCACACGTCTCCACCTCAGCTTTTGAATTGCAGATGTGTTTTTAAAGCAGCTTGATGTTAGTGAGCTAGACCGTAGTGCCTTACTTAGGATTTAGCAAACACTTCCCAGGAGGAGTCCTAGGGCTGCTAGCCTTTGGCCAACGTGGATGTTTCCCTGATTAGTTTGTCCTTTTAAGAGCATTTCTCCCTGATGATTTTGCTGCTGTTTGTGCTCAACTCCACAGACTATACAGGAACTTGCCTTGTGTTTACAGCTCCCCACATCTCTCCTCCCAGTTACTTTGGCCCAGACCAGCACTCCCTCTAGAACAAGCTGGGAACAGGGAACAGCTCAAACCTGCATGTGCTGTGGGATAGAGGATGTTTAGGCTTCTCTTGCCAGGTGGGTCTATCTGGCCTTACCTGCCTAAGCTCCTGCAGGCTGAACTTCACCCTCCGCTGTGGATGTTCTTGGCATTAGGATGCGCCGCTGGGAAAACCCAAGCTTAAGAAAGCAACACCAAGCCTGCAGCCCATAACCCAGCCTGGGTCAGGCTGGCTCTGTCTTTTTTGGCTGCAGTGAAGCTGGGCATCCGGGTAGGGGGTACCTGGTCAGTGTGGGGGGAGCCAAGGCCCCTGTTGCAGAACCCTGTCGCCCTCTGGGCTCATGCGGCCCCAGCCGGTGCCCACGCCGGGGGAGTGATTGTATGAAACTGTTTACTTCTGACTTTGCTGTTTACAAGAGGGATGTGGGGTGGGTGGGGGGAACAAGCCAAGCCTCAGGAGGATTGGGAAACATGTTATCTGCACCAGCCTGCAGCAAGGCTGACACCACCGGCATCATGCAGGTGTCACGGGGATTTCCCGGCCAGCTTTGGTCCATGGGGAGAAAAGCAGAGGTGGCTCTAGCCTAGAGGGGTTAGATTAGCTTCCCCATATCCCCTTGCTGCTGTGTTTGAGGTTCAGCAGTGCTAGTGACAGATAAGAGTTACCCCTGTGGTCTTCCTTTACTCCTCAGGACCCAGCTCCTTCACATATCACAGGCTCCCGGAGCCTTTCTGGAGCAATAAGATGTAAAACGAGCATTACCATCGTCGTGGAAATCCTCCGTTGTGTGCGGTGTCTGTCTCCTCTGTATGCAGTTCGAGTCTGGGTTTAAGCCTGCCAAGCATCATGGGACAGCTGCTTCAGGGCACAAACTGGGATTTGTTTCCCTGGGCTTTCTGCTGGTCAGGAGAACAGGGAAACCCGTTGCTGCTTTCCTTCCTCGCCACAGGCCTCTGCTGCCTGAGCCTCACACTAGAGCTGCGTGGGGCGAGGGGGGCTCCTGTTCCCCTTTTTGGCGATGCTGACATGGGATGGGTGTGTGGTGCTCAGTGCTGTGCCAGCTTGGCCGTGCCGCAGGAGCAGGCTGTGGGCTTTACTCCACTCTTCACAGCCCTCCCCATCCCATCAGCAGCATTTGGAAAGCAGAGCCCCCAATCCCTCGGCAGCAGGATGCAGCCAACACTCCTGCCACTGGCTCCCTCACCCAGGAGCTGTCACTGGCATGGGGAGAGCTGTGCCAGCAGCTCCTGTGCTCCTCCGCTGGTTACAGGCACATCCCACAGTGTGACCCTTCATGTCCAAAAGCGTTTCACACTCCAGGGTGTCTGGGGTGGTGGGTGCAGCTGGGAGGGAAGCACAGAGAGCTGCTCTCTTCCAGCTGTGACCTGCCACATTATTTCTCTGTAGCCTGCCTGTAGTGCTTTTAGCTTTGAGAGTGATGTCTAGGCTGCTGGAAGAGCTCATGGGCCACATAGGGGTGCTTGCTGATCCCCATCATGGCACCTTTCCCCTTCCCAGCAGCTGCCCAGCCCACCATGGGCCTTCAGCTCATTCACCCAGCAAAACACAGCAGCTCTGCAGGGATGAGCAGCTTCACTGCCACACCACTGGGGTGCTGGCTGACCCCCAGGACAGGCACCCTGCCCCAGCCCTGCTGTGGACTCCTCCTGGTCCCCACAGCCCCTGTGCTGAGTTAGCAAGAGCAGAAGGCTTAAACCCAGACTCCAAACTAAAGATAATATTAGTAAATGAATCTGTATTTTTCTTTTTTTTTTTTTTTTTTTTTTTTTTTTTTTTTTTTTTTTTTTTTTTGCACAGAAGCTGGTAATCTAGGACCTATGTGTGAACAACTTTATATAAATATTTTTTGTACTTGGTTTACTCGGGTTTGGTATGAGATGTTCTATTTAAGTTCTTTGAACACTGTGGATCCCCTGATGTGTATGAATGGCAGAGGCTTTGTAAATTAAGGGACGTTTGTGTGAATAAAGCTATTTGATGGGGTTGAAAAGCCACACACAACTTGAAACATGAGCTCTGTGTGTTTGTCCTCCGCTGTGCTGGCAGCAGTGGGGTTGGAAGGGTGTCCCCTGGCAGCAATGGACAGACCAAGGCCCTGAAGCAGCTCTGACTCCATCCCAAAGGGCAGGTCCAGCTAACCCTGGTCTGGGGTAGCTGGACTGACCCCAGGGCTTAGGGCACTAAACCAAGGCATGGTGGCCAGTGCCAACCAGAACGTGGCTCTCTGGCACGCGGCACTTGTGGCCCTTTATCCTCGCCCTGGATTAGGATTAGCCCCGTTCTTGTTGCAGACACCCAACTAGGCCACAGCGATTAGTGGGACAGGGAACCTCTGCCTGCCCGAAAACACCTCCCCATCCTGCCCCTTCCTTCCCATCTGGCCACTTCCCCAGCAGCCCCGTTTGGGAGCCAGAGAGGATAAGCAGCCCTTCGCACAGTTGGCTTTCTGTTCTTGTCGTGGCTACAAACCCACCAAGGAAAATGCCCAGCAGAACTGCTGCTTTATTAGCCACACTTTCTCCCTTTGCACAGATGCTCTGCCCCAAATCCCAGATGCAAGACCAAATCCGAGCTGGTCACATCAGCTGGGATCCCCCGTAGCCCCATTTCCAACCGGGACTCTCAGTACCGCGATCGACATCCATGGTGGGAAAAGCACCACAAGGCTGAGCTGCATCCTGCAGCTGTTTTCCTGTGGGTGATGTCCACAGGTGTTGAGCAGCTTGGGGCCACCCTGGGTGGGACACATGGTGTCCTGTGGGACACAGGATGTCCCGGCACGCGGGGCCACACGGCCCAGCTCGCCAGCCCTTGCGTAACGGCCCCGCAGCCTCGCGCGACCCGAGGCAGCGGCAGCGCCCGCGCTGGGACGTGCAGGGCAGCCCGTCCTCCCCTGCCACCCCCCCTGCGGCAGCCCCAGCACCGCCGGCCGCACGGCCCTGGGCTCCCCCCGCGCACCCGTCAGCATTGTGCTCCCTAATCGCTGCCGACAGGCACCGAAAATGGATGTTCTCAGCCCAGTGGGGCCGCAGTGAGGCTGGTCAACCCCAGCTGGAGTGATGGCCCCGCTCACCAGCCGGCAAAGGGGGCCCAAGCCGTGTTTCCCTTGGGCCCCCCACCTTCCAACTGGTTGCTCAAACATCTCCCCCCAGTCCTGCCAAGAGCATCCTGGCTGCAGGCAGAGAAGAGGCCAGCTTAGCTCCAGTCACACTGGCCCCTGGTGTGAACACACCCCAACATTGTCCCTGTCCTGGCGTCAAGTGCAGCTGCAGAGAGCGGCTGTGCTACATTGCTGTGCCCCACCAAATACAGCCACCCCCAAAATCTCTGTCTCAAATGTTGCTGCACCTCCAAGACTTGTTTAAGCTACACCAGTGACGAGGATCATGTTGCCAATCTCCAGGTTCATGGCATCCCACGCTTCTCTGTGACCAGACACACATGTGAGCGCCATGGCCTCTGGCTCCCAGCTCATCCCTTGCAAGTGGGGTGAAACTGAACCCCAGCAGGAGCTTGGGATGGGAGCCTGGGTCGCCTTGCACGTGTCCTGCCGTGCTGCAGGCGAGGAGCTGGTAAGGGCAGGTGACCACACTGCACAGTCGACAACCAAAAAGCGTCATTAGCGAGAGATGTTGGTGTCAGTCACCAGGAGAGATGTTTCACTCTGGATTTGCTCTCTGGAGACCTGCTATTTTGCATGCAAAGAGGTTTGCTGAACTCCACAAAGGTGCTTCAAGTATTTGACAGCTGACAGAAGTACCCTGGCAGCCACCGCCTGCCCTGTGCTCCTCAGGGACCAGGGGGGCACGTGCTGGTGCAGAACTGCACGTGGGAAAGGCCACAGCCAGGCAGCAGGGCCAGGGTGGGAAAGGTAGCCACCTTGGCCACAAGGCCAATCACAGTCCTGAGTACCAGCACCAATCTCACCCCAGAGGGATTTAACATCAGAGCAGAGGCAAGATGCTGCCGCCATGGCTTCGCTCTCCCTCTCCCCTGCTTGCACACAGGAACATTTTTCAAGAGCCTCCTCTCCACAAAGACTGTGTTTTACAGCTGAAGCACTAAGTCATTCAGCACAAAACATAAGTCCATATTTCTTTTAAGATCTCTTGAGCTCCTCAAGCAGCAGCCACTTCAGCAGCCCTCGCTGGGCCAGAGTGACATCCGCTGCTGCCTGAGCTGGTGGGAGGAGAACAAGGTCCATTGTATTGGCACAGGACATTCATCCGCCTCATCCCTGCATTGATGAATTGCTCCACTTTATCCGTGTCAGGCTCCAGCACAGCAGAGGATGAACAGCTAAAGCTGCACTAAGCCCACACACTCCATTGAGCTGGGAGATGACTCAGATGCAGGTGGAGGTGACGGTGAACACAAGGGACGAAGCTGAGCGAGCAGGGGCTCTGCTCTCCCCATGGACCACCGTGCTGAGAGGCAGCAGCCTGGACCCTCCTCACCCTCTGTCCCCCTGTTTGGTGGCAGGACAGTCACAGTGGTCCTTGGCACAGGGACAGCCCAGCCTTGGTGCTCTGCCACACAGTGGATAAGGCCATGGATGGCACCAAGATGTCACTTTTTAAATACCTTTTATCCCAATGCACACAGTATCCCAACAGCTCTCCAGCATCAGCTCAAGAGAGCCGTGCATGAGGAGCAGTGCAGCCCCCAGTGTGTGCGGGATGGCCCTGGCTACCCCGTCCCTCCTCCTGCAGAGCCCCAGGTGGCACTTGGGATGCCAGTCCTGCCAGGGGGATCCTGGGGATGGAGCAGGGGGAGCAGCATCGCCCAAACCGCCTCCCGATTCCAACCAAGGCTTCAGAAAAGGTAATTTTTGCCTTCCATCTGCCTTGAATGCAGGGTGCCCACTCCACCTGCACCCCACCTGACTCTCCCCACAGCAGGGACCGCACGTGGCAGAGGCAGCAGCTTCACCCAGAGCCACTTCAGGTCAGTCTCAGTTCCATGAACAAAAGCTGCTTCTCCAGCTCGTTTCCTGACAGAGCTAATGGCCTGTGCCCCTCTGGGGACCCAGTACTTGCTGAGAGGCAGCAAGGGAAGGAATTAAAAACTTATTTCCTCTGCCAGAGATAAGATCTTTAAACAAGCTTCTCAGCCAAGAACTTTAATTTTTTTATTTTTTTTTACAGGTTTTGCAAGGGAATCTTATTCTCCAGAATTGCATCCGCCTCCAACCCCACTTAGAGCTGCCAAAGCCTGTACTTCCCCTGGGACCAGCCTGCAAGAGGCAGAGATGGATGGGATGACACGGGCATGATTTTACCCTTCTGTCCTGCTGCCGGAGCCGGGGGCTGTCAGGATTCCCAGAGGATGCCCCTGCTCTGGCCCTGCACTGTGGCTCCTCCAGCCCCCCTTGATCAGCCCCCCAGACCACAGCCATGGGTGCCACAGCCCCTGCCCCAGCACTGGGGCTGGATGAGGCCCCAGGGTGAGCACCCTTGTGAGCAGCAGAGTCTGGCACATCCCTCCAAGCTCCAACTCTGCTCCCTCCACATGGATCCAGCCCCACAGTCACTCCTGTTTAACCCAAGAAGGGCCAGTGCCTGTGGTCTTATGAAAGGTGCTCGTGCCCCCTCTGTAAAGCCTTCTGGGAATCAGTGAGGGCACTAAACTGGCCATGCAGGGTCCACCTCCCCTTCTCCACAAACCCAAGAAGGTCGTTGTCTCACCATAAGCCTCAATCCCTCCTTGTGACACAGACTTGTCCCAGTACTGGCCCTCTGTCTGAGGAACATGGATAAATGTTCCCCAATGTAGTCTTCAATGGCAAGAAATAAAAGCCCCCATGCTTGTGCCCTGGGGGTTTGCAGCCTCCCCTTCCTTGGAGCCTGTTGTGGGATCAAATGCTTTGGGCTGATTCATCCATGTGAGATGGAGAGCTAACAGACCATGGCTCTGGAGGAGCAGATTGTGGGTCTGGGCTCAGACCAGGGAAGATTTTTGCCCCTAAACAGCCTCCAAATCCCCAAATTTATTGGCCTGCTGTATCAAAAGGCCACTCCAAACTCTGGCAGGTCCAGGCTTTGGGGCTCCCTCCTGGGGTGCCATTAGTGGGTGTAATGAGCTGGAGATAATTGCTGCCTCAGGGACACAATTAACTCCTTCTTGCCCTGGTCCAACTGGGGCTTTTGCATCTCAGGAGAGCAATTCCTCCCCTCTCCCCCCCTCCCCGGTTCCTTGGAAAACTTCCATCCCTCTTTCTTCTCAAAGTGAGCCTCTGAATCACAGTCTGACGAACACCACGAGTTCACTGATGTGTGGCAATGATTTAGATTTGGAATTTATCTGGAATGTATAATTTATTTCAGGTATCTGAGGCACCAGTGAAACTGGGAGCAAGCACTGAGTAAATCAGTCATACCCTTGTGATGATGGGGATTGCAGCCTTTATATTGCTCTGAGAATCCTGCTCCCACAGAGCCAGGTGAGCATGATGAGGGATGGGTACTTTTTGGGGCTGCAGGGACACAGTCAGGGACCCTGGAGGAGGTGATGATGGTGGAAGACTTTAAAGACAGTGCTGCTGTGAGGACACAACCTCGCTCAGAAAGGTCAGTGTTGAACAGCCCTTTGCCCTGGGACAGGGATCACTTTGAACCTGGTGCTGCTCAGACAGCTGCTCCAAACCTGGCATCCACCTCCACCCACCAGGAAGCAGCAGAAGAGGAACCAGGCACGGAGTTCACCCCCATCCCTGCCCCTGTTTTGCCTTTGCAGCAAATCACTGTT